AATCCGTCCACACTGAATATGAGAGGGGGAAAATGAAAATAATAAATGCTTTAGACAATAAGAAACATAAAGTTGACTGTTGAGTTGCTCAGTTTTTTTAGATTGTCAATACTATTACTGTATAACTAATATCTCAGGTTAAGAGGCACATTCAAATAAAGATTGGTCTTTAAATACATGTTGTCTTTTGAATTGTTTGTCTAAAGTCAAGGATCAAGAACTAGTACTTAGTTTTAATGATAGAGTCTGGTTATTATGCTGTTTGGAGGAGGCCTCAAAGGTAAGAGCACTAACTAGCTACCATCACATGTACCTTAGCTTGACTTAAATGTATTAAACGTATAGTTAAGTGATATCAAAATATAAATAACTAATGTCATGCAAACATATAAATATTTGCTTGATTCCAGTGTTGAATTTAGCACAATTGCATACAAACGTTAAGGGGTTTTAAGATTCTGAAGTATTATGCTAAAAACTCAATAACTTAGATTATTATTTATAGTTTTGCTGAATAGTTTCATGTCCGCTTACCTTAGAAACGTAAAATGTGACGGCAGCGTGCAGATGGGGAGCATGTTAGCTTAGCTTGGTAGCTTCAGCTAGCTCTGGAACTTCCAGCTCGGTGGCAGGAGGTCCCACCTAGGCTCCGCCTCTTTGCCCTTATTTGGAGAAGGCGGGAGTTGAACTCTGACGTCACTGTTGAGCCGTTAGTGGCCGACTCCGCCTACTAAGGGCTTCACTGCAACTCTGCAGAATCCTATGGGTGACGTCACGGACCCTACGTCCATTTATATATACAGTCTATGTGTGCAACACGTAAAAAAGGGGAAAATCGTGTTGGTGAACACGAATCAATAGATTAAAAATCGTGTTGGTGAACACGAAATGCCATGAGACTGGGTTGAATATCCACCTCCGCCGGGATTTGCAGTGATGAACGAATAAAGCCAGATATAAACCCTATTGTTTCATTTTTCTCAGAGCCCTCTGATATGCCATGTATCTGCACATTGTTGCGTCTCGACCTTGATTCCAAATCGTCACACTTGGCAGCTAACTTTGCCTCTTGGTGAAGCAGGAAGGCAACCGAACGTTCCAGCCGCGCCATCCTGTCTTCCGTGTCCCCTAGCCTCTCTTCAGTCTTCACCATTCGCTGCTCTAACAAGGCTGTTCTTTCCACCATGTCTTTAAGGACATTGTCTAGTCGTGTCAGAGCCTCTTTCGTGTCGTTAGCCGCTTCTGTGTGCTCGTTTCTCAGCTTGCGTATCTCCGCCAGTATCACCGAGTCCTCCTCTCCGCTCACACGCTTAATCTCCGGCCTCGTTGTGTCAGTGTGTCGCTCACTCGCAATATTTTTCTTACCAGGTTTCAGTTTTTTATCCATCCTTTTAAAAATTACTTGTAACCGTCAAGTTTTGTCTTAGGTTAAGTTACTACCTTAAATATTGTTTTAAAGAGCTTGTTTTCGTTGGTTTTTGGACAAGCTAGTTTCCACCCTGTCTCCTACCTCATGGCGCCACCGGAAGTCTCGTATGATGTTTTAACTAGTTTCGCTAAGTGTGAAGGACCAGGGTACGCACAAATCAGGAATGCATGAGGTGAAAAAATAAGGATTTTATTTACCCAATATAATATATGTTGTGGTGCCACGTGATAGGACATAATTCACCGTGTGTTTGGTGTGTGTTGCAACCCGGACCCATTAGTGAGGGCACCGGGGTTGTTGTTCATTTTGGCTAGCATGACATGCAGTAGCAGCAAGTGTACTCATCTCTTGTGATCCAATGTATAATAAAGTGTGGAGTTCCATACTTAACACACCGCCTCCGACTCCCATTCATCGGCTCTACAATGTACAGTTTTAAGATGGGTAATAAAATCAATTAGGTTTAAACAAAAATGTGTAGATATAAACAGACACAATCTAGCATTTAACGCAAACAAAACGTCACAAAAATTGGTGACATCCTGTGTGCTCTTCTGCCCAAGAGCAACTCACCCCCCCTCATCCCCACACTGCAGGAATTTATAGCACTTCTGGCCAGTCCATTGTTGCGTGCAGGGGAAAAAGGCTCTAAAAAGGGGTGGCTTAAATGGAGTGGCCTCTTTAAACACCCCTCAGGGTTTGAGAGGAATGGCGTAGTCCAATTAGCTGACATATCTATAAAGGCAGCCTTGCAGGAGCAAGGTGAGCTGTAAGACACTGACAATAGGATTACACACAACACAATTAACAATAGATGGCTCGGGGTCATCTCTGGGTCATCTCTGGGTCATCTACACCCCGAGAAGGATGTGTTCCAGGTGTCCCATAACAATGACTATCTCTGACCGAAGTTGACACACACTGTTATTTACTCAACAATAACACACAATTATCCTTGTTTTTATTTATTTTTTTAATTCTATAATCTCTGGCTTTGTTGGTGTCCGTCAGGAACTGAATTTCAAAATAAAATAACTGGAAACAGACGTAGGCCTATAAGGGACATTTCGACACCCACTGACCGATTACCCAAGATCCTCAGCTATGGTTTACAGTAAACTCGGTGATTGGATTATTTAGCCGCAATGCACATTTGGATATGGTGTTAAAGGTAGGGTAGGTAAGAATGGAGAAACCAGCTTGAGTGCGCTAGCATTTGAAAGTACGCAGCCGAAAACAATCTGCCCCTTCCTTCAGACTTCCTTACAGAGCCCCTCCTCCAACACACACGAACGCGCACATGACCAATGAGGGCACGAGATGAGTTTGTGCACAAGATGGAAGGCTGACAGGCAGGTAGGCCATCCAGTTATTTTAGCCGGGCCGGCTCAGATGATTGGTCGTGCTTTGCTATCGGGATGTTAAGAGCATTCCATGGAATATAACAAGTGTTTCTGAAGTGAATTACCTACCCCACCTTTAATGCGATATGAAATCCGAAAAACATTTAAAAAAAAAAAAAAAATAGTACTTGCTTTTCTCTTCATCACATAATGGCATTGTAATACACGGTTCGGCTGCATTAAATATTACATATCTGCCGTAGTTCTCTATTTATAAAGCCCGGATGAGAAGACTTCTGGACAAACATGAGGAACTGCCACCGAAACTGAATATGTGACGTGGATCATAAATATATCAGCATTTAAACAACAACTTCAATTTCTCTTCACAAAATACGTCTCCTTGTAGTATCAATAGTTAATTCGGCTGACTTTTATATTTGATCCAATTCGTAGATAGGTTATATTTACACCATAACGGTGCACAGCTGATAGAAAATGACTTATTGTTTTTAATTACTTACTTTCTTTGAATATAAGAATGTAAATACTGAGTTGAGTCAGGGGTTTTGGGTGATGGGAGACACACCTATGGATTCAGAATTTCAATAGCTTATTAAATGACAGATATATACCTTTCTGTCTGTGATGTTTTACAAATCAGATATTAATGTGTGGAAGTAAAACATGTGAAATAATACAGCAATATCCTGTAAAATTATGTGAAAACATGAATAAAACTACACATCTTCAGATGTTATACATACATAAGTGTCCTACACTAATAATACAAAGTTATTATGGTATGCTGGGTGTACCTTGTGTGCACCTCCTAGTGGTTAGAGCACGTTATTGAATTATTTTTGTAATATTTGATGAAAAAAATATTAAGAGTAGAAGGTCAATGATAGAAATATAGAATATAAAAAATCAAGAAGATACTGTAAGTGATCTCTACAATAAAACAGTTTAGTGCCGGATGTACAAAGATATTAATAGGAGGATATGCAAAACAGAAAAACTAATTAACCTTTATTTAAACATTAAAGAATACTTTAGGTTAAGGTCTTCTTTTAAATAAGAAAAAAGCTTTGGGGGTATCTACAGATAAATATTAAGCCTGACAAATTACTTAACGTCTAATATATTGCTTTCCTGCAATGTTAACTATGTTGAAGCACTTATTTTAACTGATATTATACACATTAATTATACTCTTATGTATGTAGATAGTATAAGAAATGTGCAGAATATGACAGTTTAATGGTGGAGGTATACACACATATTGATAGATGTCTTCTTGATAGAACCAAGTTTTTCATTCATTGCATAACTTCAACGTAGTTGTGTATATGATATGTCAATAAACCTTAGAACATCTTGAAATCTTGAAAGGGACGTGCAAAATAGCCATTATACAGTCTTTAATTAAGTATTAGTAGAGGATAACGAGTAATGAATATACTTTATAGAGATCTGCAGATAAATGTTTAGTCTTCTCAAGCACCACCTATCAAATATCTCTCCTGATTGTTGGCACTTGACAATCACCTTCCCTGAATTTTACTCAGGTGTAACTAAAGTCGGATTTAAGGGTTGTTTATTTTTCACATTATTAATCAGAATCTGCAAAGTAACTAAAAGAAATGTAGTGGAGTAAAAATACCAGGATAACCTCTGAATTGTAGTGGAGTAGAATTACAAAGAAATAATGAGCTGTCATGTGGGTATATATTAATGCTGCCCATTATGGATATAAGCGATTTTCACCCATTTATTAATTATATGTTTTAAATTATAACACCAATGTGTTTAATACTGGCAACTTCTAATTGTGGGGAAAACTAAAACGTTCCTAGTCTCAGATGTTCAGTCAAATCGGTTTGCTCTGGGACGGAGATGACATTGTCTTATGGTCATGGTGTTGGTATTATTACAGTTAAATCTATTCTGCTGCATTGCTGTATAGCCATGCATTAACATTTGCATGTCCACCCTGCTGCAGTCTTCAGCTGTGAGTCACGCTGCTGCTGTGTGTTGACCTGGCAAATGAAACTTCCCTGGAGACTAATTTGTCCACCAGAGCTCGAGAGCTGCACCTGCAGGGGAAAAACCCCCACCATTTCCTATGTGTACGTGTAGATAACAATTAATAATCAGTGTAATTTCACCCCATATTTAAGATCATCCCACAGCCATTAGCAAGCACAAACACACCGACTCGGACATAGTGTTAACGCAGAATTCTATGTTTATTAGAAAGATCTTCAACAAACATTTCGTCTTTTGTGTAAAAGTACTACAAAATGCAGCTGAACCCAGGGGAGTAAAATGAAGTTTACGGGGTCTTTACAGAATGTTTTCACAGGTCGGACCGTCTCACAGCCTGCTAGCCTGGCTCCACCTTGGAAGCTTCATTTCTCTGGGTGCCTCATTGGATTTTCCGTGGTGAAACAGGGAAACAGCAGCGGCCATGTTTGATCAAAGTCTGCCGGTGGTTGGCAGGAGGAAAATGGCAGCTCTTTCGTACATACTCCGGATATGTGCAGCCCAAAACCAAAATAAAGTACAGAAAAAATAAAGACACTGTACATAGACTCTCCATCCTATGTGTCAAACTATAAAATACAAATAAATGTACATATCAATATTGTATCTAAATAAGTGCAGGGCTCTTTTACAGGTCACCGACAATAATAAAAATAAATCTGTATGCCTACAGTCTTATTTTCAAGTGTTCCTTCTTTTTTATTGTCAAAAATCGATATGCGTTTAATTGATTCTCAATAGGAACTTCTGCTCTGTAATCCTTTTTGATTAATGTGCTCTTTTATTTGTTTACATTATCAGTGTTAGAATAGTCCCGCCAACAATACAACTCTCTTGTACATACAGCGGGATGCATCGCGCACTGTTTACCTGATGCCATTTATACAACGTGACACACTCGCAACCTCTCATATTTTGCATACATGTATAAGGAAGAAGCAGAGAGGGAGAGAGAAAGAAAGAAAGATCTGTGCTCAAACATCTGCGTCCTCTAACCTCACTCGTCTCCTAGTTTACTTTCCTCTCCTCTCCTCCTCCCTATCTCCACACTTTTACTCTCCCTGCCCTCATCTTCCTCTCCTCCTCCTCCTACTCTCTCTCGTCCGGTGTTTTTCCGAGGCGCTTTAGTTCCACAGTTTGAGGAAGCTGTCCCAGGATCCTGTGCAGACACCCATACCGTCAGCAGGGACACCGGTGCAGCTCACCCTGTTGTCGTGGCCGGACAGCACACCTGGAGGAGAAAGAGAAGAGGAATCGAGGGTATTAAAAAAAAGCAAAGGAACGGAAAGGGGAGATGGTATGCAAAGAAACAAGAGAGTAGGAGAGAAAATCAAAGGAAATAAAGTGAAGAAAGAAGATCAAAGAAAGGGAAAAAGGGGGAATGGAAAGGAAAGTAGAGGAAAGGAAAGACAGTCATTGTTTGTCCCTTCCGTTCAACCTCTACTCTAAACCTCCACAGGACATTTCTCAGTCTAAAAGAAGATATAGACCTTTTTCAGGGACAGGGAAAATCCCCCAAAAATCCGGCCTACTCACCAACTTTCTCTCCCTTCAGTGAGTCCCAGATGTGGCAGTTGAAGTCATCGTAGCCGGCAAAGATAAGGCGGCCAGAGTTGGAGAGAGTCAAAGACGTGACGCCTGCGTTCAGGCTTGCGTCCTGGTAAGTGATCACTTCCTGGTCGGAGCGCAGGTCGTACATCTTGCAGGAGCAGTCGTCGGAGCCTGTGACGAAGGCGTTTCCATTGGGGAAGAACTGCCGGCAGGGAGAGAAGAAGAGAATGTGAATGGGAGCTCAAAATGCCTTTTCAACGCCTTTTATACAATACCTAACTTTCTGAAAATCCAAACATCAATTTAGTTGAGTTTGTGCTTTAAAGTAGTTATCACACGTTAGATAGCTCATGTTAATGCACAAGAATGCATAGGTTACATCAGGGTTTGAAATTAGCACCAGACAAATCCAATATGCAAACTTCTGATGGACACATTCATATTTGCTTATTGTATGTTGGATTTACTTTACTCTAATGTACTAATTCAGACTTTTACCTTTAAAATAAAAAAATAAATAAAACCATTATCATTTACAATAATTTGGTGGACCCCTGCAGGAATGCTGAGGATCCCTTGAGGGTCAAGGACCCCCTGTTTTAGACAATGATTCCAATCTTTGTAAAGAATATTTTTTCACCCCATTAAACTTCCTTATCCTAGGAGGTGTTGTAAAACGATCGTTTTTTCGACTTTGGTAATCAATACCTGTGAACTTTCTTAATTCCTTAAAGTTTTAACTTTTGATTTTTTTTCATTGCCTTTAATTCGGGGCCAGGACAAAACCTTCAAGGCAATTCTAAATGACTGTCATAAACCAAAAGCTGGTTCGTCACAGGCACAGGTTCAGGTATTACAATCCCAGAACTAACATTCAGGTTAGTGATAGATATGTGTGCACAAAATATAACAGGTATAAAAGTGATATTATTTCAGGTGCCATGCTTCTTGGGTCCCTCACATTGATGGCGTCAGGGACGTGCACAGACATTTTGGGGGCAGGTGCTCAAGTGAGAAAAAGGGCACTTCCCATAATCATTTATAAAAAAAAATGTTAAAAAAAAAGTTAAATATAGTTGCACATCTCTGACTTACTGACCAATTTATTTGAATACCCTCACACTCACGCAATTCACGAGCTACGGAACTTCACAGTCTAATCTCCCGACCTGATATTTTAATTTTGCATTCAATCAATATATTTTTGGACAGGGAAACTGTGCGCAAACAGCAGTAGATATATATTCATTTATAAAAAATAAAAAAAGGGGGGAAAAAGGCCACTTTCTCTGGAGGAAGAACAAGGGCAAGGGCTGAAGCCCACTTTGATTTCTATGTGTGCACGTGCCTGGATGGCGTTGATGTCGCTGGTGTGTCCGGAGAAGGTCTGCTTGCAGGTCCCTTCCCTCAGGTCCCACAGCTTGGCCAGAGAGTCACAAGCTCCGGAGACAAAGGTGTTCTCGTCGTTGGAGAGGGCCAGAGACATGCAGTCTCCAATGTGGTTGGTGAAGATGATCTTCTGCTTGCCAGTCTCCAAGTCCCACAGACAGCTGGAGAGGGGAGAGAGGAAAAGTCAGGGAAAGAAAGAAAAGATCGATCACATTTTCAACAATCAAACAAATGTGATCATGTGTCCACTACGCATTAACAATGTCTGCCATGCCAATGATAGAACACTGACATTACTGTCTCATGCTAGATTGAATGGCTATATGGAAAATAATTGTGTATTCTACATAGACGGATACCCAAATTATATATCATCAAAATATAAATCTACTCTTCTTGTTTCCGATCTTTTCCTTAAATGGGGACACAGGACAATTGTTTTATGTTGGCCATTAATAAGTAATAGCCTGAGCCAATGAAGACATGTCATTTTGTAGATGTTTCCAATGCGTTTAATTTAACTAACCATAATATATTTTGTGATATGATGATAATTTACTCACCAGGTAGTGTCACCGGAGGCTGTCAAGATCTCATTGTCACTAAGGAAACGGCAGCAAGACAGGTAACCTGGGTGGGAAGATGACGTGATGAACGACTCATTTCTTTGTATGCTTTTTAATAACAAGTTGAGATTCTGTGAAAATGAGGCCGGCGAGAGTTGTATCCTCACCTGTGTGTGCGTCCAGCTCCCTGAGGGTCTTTGGGCTGGCAGCCTTGATGTTGTACACTGTGCACATGTTATCCAGACCACCGCTGGCCACCAGGTTTCCAGAGGGGGCGAAGGCGACGCTCATCACCCAAGCTGACTTTAGTGGGACAGCAACCAACTGAGGAGTGGAAATGTAGTTTAGTTGTTTTGAAAACTCCCTTAAATATCAGTGTTGCATGGGCTGCTTCAAATCACTGTAGACACAATTTGAACCAAATCTATGGAGGATAATTAGTGACGGGCAAAAGATTATTCTCAATATTTCAACTTTGAATCCAAATTATATTATAGAAATACATTAAAACGTTCACTATTTAATTAATGGCTGGCATTTATACTAAAAGTTTGTCTTTATTCTCGATAATTTGAATATATTTAATATAGAGAACATCTTTCATTTTTCCCATTATGCCTGACCATAATACTCAAGCGTAAAAATGTATCAATCTTCCTATCACGACTTTATTTCTGACAAGGTTGAAGCTGAAGTTAAACCATCCCTGACGTTATTTATCTCACCACTGAAATCCAGACTAATCAAATTATTTGAGGATTAGAAGCTCCTACAGGAAGGGCAAAGTAACCCGACCAATCACAGGCTCAGATCAACTCCTTTACCTTAAACACTGATATTCAAAAAACATGATCAAAGAATAACTTCCCTTCCTTAGCAAAGAACCACGAAACACAGGACTAAGCCTATCAAGAACATCAAGACGACTAAGCCGTACACAAATACAATAAGACATATGGGAGGCTCCCAAAATAAACAAAATATTGTTTGTATGTAACATTTGTGAAAAACAAATGTACAATCTGATTTGAATTTGAATTGAGGGTACTTCAATTCCACAAACGTATCTGCTTCAAATTATTTTTGTTTGCCACAACATTAAATATGACATTTTACAAGGGCAGCTGAGTCGATTGTACTTACATTTTACATTTGACTGTTTACCTACTCAAGTAACATTTGTTACACCACAACAGTGTTTTTAAAGTGTATTATCATATATATTTAGTTTACATAAGCATAGCATCTGAGTACACTGAATTAGTTGAGCTAATTAAATGTATTATGTCAAGATTACACATATAATTGTATTATGTTAGTTGAAAGCAATGATATTAGGTTGAACCTAATGTTTTATAAACTTAATATTATTGCTTTCAACTAACCTAATTTCTTCAGTGTACTTCCTCTACCACTGGATGTCAGTGTTTCAGCATATTTGTCATACAGACTTAATATAACATCGTAATCGTACCTTGTTCCCTGTATGGGTGTCCCAGACAAGAAGCTTGCCATCCTGTGATGCACTGACCATTGACCTGTGGGAGAGACGAGACAGTAGTAAAATATTATAGAGCAGTAATTTAAAAAAAACTCTAATCATGAAATGTACTACTTTATGACATAATCTGTGTCTTTTTTATAAATGATCTGATAGGTGGACAAATTCCTTGGTAGCATAGCATCTGTTCAGAAATGTTGGCTTTCTGAATCTTCCATATTTAGACGACCACATCTAGTCTGTAACTTTTGAATAAATAAAGATAATACCTAAGTCAAGTTTCAGTGTCCTGGTACTTTGCATGCTAGCTCACTGTCACTCTGTCTTGCATAATAAAAGTTATTTGTTAGGCCTAAGCTTTCCTAAAGTTGACCAGTGGAAACTGGAGACTTTAAAGGGGAACACAACCTAAGCTCAGTTTTTTTAGTATGTTGTTATGGTATGAATGTTTTGTGTTAACATGAGCTCCTTTCTCTTAAAGTGGACCTATCATGCAAAATGCACTTTTTGATGTCTTTTATACATAAATATGTGTCCCCGGTGTGTCGGGGAACTCACGCAGCGTCAGAAAATAAAACCCTCTCTCTTTTCCTCCGTACCCAAATCTCTAAAAACTGAGGTACAACGGAGCTGATCCAGATTTGCGTCCGATATGACGTAATATCGGAAACGTTGCTATCAGAAACAATGCCCGACTGTTTTGGACGTAATATGGTCGGTGTTTACATTAGCATCGCATCTAGGATTGCCTTAGACCAGGGGTGTCAAACTGAAATACACAGTGGGCCAACATTTAAAAATGGGTACTAGTCGAGGGCCGGACTGGTTCAATGTTTATTGCAAAACTTATTGAAATGAACTTATTGCACATATTAAACCTGGAACTAACAAAGCTTAAATGATTGCCTATAAAAACAACATGAAACATTACATAATCAGTTGCATTCATTTCTTATGGCTCTATCTGCAGCTTTTCCAGAGTCATTTCTTATGATTACATTTTTCTACAGGCCAACAACAGCTTCAAAAAAACGATTCCCCTCAAAGAAAAAACCAAACATGCCCTGTTGTCTCAAGAAACAAAGTGCAGAAGGAAACATCCATTGAAACTCAGTGTGCTGCTCTGTGATGCACACTAAGCCAGATACTTGGCATCTCATCTTGGGTGCAAGTTCATCAATGTTTGGGCTCAGGCTCTGAGCTGAGGAAACCCTCAGGATGGAGTGACGGTGTGCGTGCAATATACCGGAGGGCCAGATCTAATAGTAATTACAAATGATCCTGCGGGCCGAAATTAAATCCACCAAGGGCCTGATTTGGCCCCCGGGCCTTGAGTTTGACACATGTGCCTTAGACCATGGGAATAATCTATGAGTTTCCAAAATGGGGGTGGTTCCCCCGCAATGTGTGATGGTGGAGAGGCTCCTGTTCCCCTCCTCCTCCTCCTCACCTGGAGTCAGAAGACCAGTGCATGGAATAGATTTTAGCCAGGTGACCTTTGAGGGATTTCCTGAGCTTCAGCTGCACACGGCCTACATCGGTTGCTGATCCTGCTGCTGATGACATGTTGCCGTCATTCACAGCTTTACGGGCCGCCTGGTGGTCAAACAGGGAATTACATGTTAGGGTGAATCGTCAGACACAGTATCAAACAACTAAATGATCATTAACAAAGATAATCATATTATAAAAATGGCCATTGTAGCATTAGTTTGTGTAATATTAACTAACTTTATTGTGCCATAGCTGAGGAACGAAAGCTAAATGGTAGAGCAACTACATCCTGATAACATTAGTAAACCAATCATTCAGTTAGGGTTAGGGTTAGGGTTAGCAAACATTACAACATTTTAGGCATACTTTATTAAGGATTTCTTTATGGTAACCAAATCCTGTGTATAACATCTTCTAACATTACATAGACAGATAACCTTTACCCTAATCTTTTTTCAAAGAGACAAACTTTTAACCATCTAAATAAAGTTTAAAGATGCGAACAAAAGTTCCATTTAACAGGTTTATAAACTACAATTTCTTAAAAGTTTACAACTCATTTAGTATTCATCAATAACTACTTCAAATAATATGGACAATTTTTACCACAGTTGGTGTTAAAATTGCATACATACATAGCATTACTACCAATTAAACATGTATTAATAATAGTTATGGCGAGTAAGGGTATTAGCTAACAAGATTGCCTTTTCTTTGCCTATTTTCGTATGTCCAATGGAAACCCTGTGTCTGAAATGTGGATGATTTTGAACTTTTCATGTAAACCCCGAGATGAACTGTGTCTTTATCCGTTGAAATGTTGGTTTAAACTAGATAAACCCTTTTAAAACGGATATTGTAAAAATACATTGTAACAAATGAGAAAAAATAAGGATTTTGTTAGGACATACGTTGTTTTCACATGACATATCGGAATAAACTTCTACAGGAAGTATGAAAGCTGCTCACCTCAATCTGTGTACGGAGGCCATCGCACTCCTTTTTCAGTGCATCAATTTCAGCTTTCTCTGCAGCCATGGCGACGGTTGCTTGGGGATATTACTGACGGAGAAATGAAACTGTCACTCTGAAACAGGAAAGAGGGACAGAAGAAGAGGATGGGAATGAAGAACGGAAAACAAATCAAGTTAATAAAGAATCAACCAACAAAAAGTATTTTCAAACTCCTGCAGCACATCACATTTCAGATATGCAGAGATGCAGTGAGCAGGCAGTGCATCACCTGATTCTTTGATCTGGATCACTTAGGTCGCTGTTACACCACCAAGTCTCAACAAAGATTAGACACATACCTGACTGGTTTAATCCCTCCCTAAACCAAAGTTGTAATACTGTTAGCTCCTGTTCTTGTCCAGCTATGGTGGTTTGAGTGTGAAGGGAGGGAAAGATGAGGAAAAAGAAGACATGGGAAGATTTAAGGACAGATATGATGTTCATTAGGGAAGAAAGGAAGGAAAGAGAAGGCCTAAAACAGAACGATAGCTTCAAGGGAGGAAACAAAGCACAAAGAAGGAAAGGAAGGAAGTAAAGGAGGACATTTAAGAACTAAAACCTAATCATTTTTTACAACAAATGCAGTGATGTTAAAACAGTGATGTAAAAGTATTCTCTGAACTGTATCAGTCTATTTCTGAGTTATACAGTGAAAATGTTCAAGCAAACATCTCTAGAATTTCCCCAAACTCCCCTTTAAATTGTGCTTACTGACATTACTTTGAGTATTTTCACTCATGGAATTTATGACCCATTCATATTAAGGCGGTGCTTTAGGATTTATTTTGAGGTATCTAAAAAAAAACGTTGTCTATAATTCTACAGAAACAATTAAACTTTTGTAATCAGCTTTCTTGTTTTGCAGATGTGTAAGGTCATCTCTTTGAAGGGCTTGTTAGCTCAGGCTCCAAGCATGTACATGGACTTCAACATTAATATATTGAAGGTCACTCCTGCTTTTTATTGTCCTCACTGTGTTTTCTAACTGGCTGGTTCCTTTACGACATCATCATTTTCATCTCCAGCCCTTCGTGCAGAAGTTGGATGGATGTGCCTAATGCTCAGTAATAAGAAACTGACGCATGACTTATTTAACCCCAATTAACTGCATATTGGCAACGAAACTCTCTCGAAACTTTAAACTTATTATACTTTATTTACTGTTTAATAGGGAAAATCTCAAGTAGGCTATGTATACATGACATGTTACAAAACATATTAATTGAATACAACTACTTTTCAACCTTTTTTTGTTATTTGTATGCATTGTATTACTTTGTTAAAAATGTGATTCAACACTTAAGTGTGTGGGGAAACAAGCCAGTAAAAAAAGAAAGTTATAGAAAAAATAAAAAATTAACAAAATATGAAGTTTATATAAATAGATCATGCAGGAATACAAAAAATTGCCAAATTCCAGCTTCTCAAATATGAGGTGTAGTTTGCAAATGTATGTCATTACACATTTGATATCTCTATGCTTTCAAATATGTAATTGACACCCCAATAATATTTGAGATGTCACCTTGTCAAAGTGACAGCAAAAGTTGAATCCTAAGAATATTGGAGCATGGGAAGTTGCAGTCCAATCAAATTGTGTCTTGCACAAATAAATAAATCAAAATCAAATCAGTTTAACGGTAAAGTTAAAGGTTCAGGGTGAGGCCTACGTACAGTGGTGTGGTGGAGGATTTGGGAGGGTCAGTGGTGCTGCTGCTGGGCGGAGTTGGGCTGGGAGGCTACAGGGCTTTAAATCCCAGCAGGAGATCTTAAGGGAAGCTTTACTGCTAAAATCTCCTGTCATCCGATTACTGACTGCTCTTTACCTCGGGATCAGAGAGAGAAGGAGGGAGGGTGCTGTGGACGGTGGGTGATGTGGAGGGTCTGTTGTAGTCAAACATCAACGGCTCCTCCACTACTGTCCCCTTCTCTTACTTAACACACATGATGGTGCATTTGTGCTCTCACACTCTCAAGGAAAACCATTTTCTAAAGCTAACAGCAAATTGAAAAAGTGCACCAGTAAAACAGAAAAGCCCTGTTTGCACTAGCATCCCAAGCAAAATCACCTGCAGCATCGAAATCTGCCGACTAAGTGAGCTGGATGAGGTTTGGCCTTGTGCGAAAGATCAGGCAGCAGCTTACTGCTGCCACACCTGAGGCACCAATCCTCTTTGCTAGCGTCCCTACAATCCAAAGATCACCTTCAAAGGGTTTAAGGAACCATTACTTTGGATGCAATTGTACCCAAGGACTAAATATATGACTTTCAAAAAGCTTTAACATAGGCTTACGAATATAAGAATGGAGTAGACTTCATGCATTAGGAAATGGCTACTGAATTCAAACATTCCATAATTCAACATTGTAGGAAAGCGAATGCTTCTTTAAAATCACTGCATATGCACAATAAGCGCTGCAGCTACATTACATTGTTTGCCATGTGCAGATAGAGCATCCCCATACTATACCAGTTTCCCATTTGTTTCCTGTGTTGCACACCGATGCTTTAGTCCCCTTCCTGTTTGTTGAACTTTTTATAAAATATCACAGAGTAAGATGATGCAGCTCCAAACATTGTCCAGGAAGCACCTGAAGAGAGTGCATTTACAGAAGCAGAGAAGAAGAAAACTCACCTTTCGTACACACAATGTGGTTCCCTTCTCTTCTTGTGCACCTGTGCAGCTCCTGGTCCCAGATACCTCCGGCTCTACCTTCCCCTTTGAGCTCTTTTAGATTCCACAATCCCAGGGTGCACAACCTGCTCGCTGGCTCCTCTGACGCTCTCCCCCGTTAGACTGATAGCAGCTTACTTGTGAGAAACTCTCTCTTTCTGTGTCCCTTCCTCCACAGTGAAGAACAGATGAGGATTGTAGGGGATGAAGGAGATAAGGGATGAAGGGATAAAGCTCAAAGATGGAAATAGAGAGGGAAGGAGAGGGAGAGAGAGAGGGAGGTAAGGAGAGGGAGAGTGGCGAGAGGAGCTATAGGTAAACCGATTGGAAGGAGAAAATCAGGTTATGAGGTCAAAAAACAAGAGCAGGTGAAGAAATGAAAGAAGAAGGTGTCAGGGAAATGCAACAGGTGGTGATGAAATGTGAGAATATGAGAGAAGAGAAAAAAAGATTGTGGAGGTTTGCAAAAATCTGTTGCACCGAAAAATCTGACCCATAGGGGAGCACTGACAAATCAGCTGCGCACAACATACATTTTAAAAAATGTGCTGTTGTTTTTAGCTAACACTACTGTGCATGTTGTAGGTGCAATGACAGCAAAATAGAAGCCAGAACCAAGTAACAAATCTAACTTTTTAATCAAACTAAGGACGCACGTTTAAACGTTTGCAACCTTTCATTCATTAATGTGAGAAATGATTGTCACTTCTTTGGTACATTTCATTTCAGGACATGTCTCCAGTGTCCTGGGATAACAGAGGTGATATTGCACTCTGATTTCTGGCATTGCAGTGCATGTTTACCGTCATGCAGGAGCGGGGTTGGATGCATGGGGCGGAGGTGGACATGGGTGAATTGGTTTGTCAGAGCTAATGAGCTAAACCTGGTTAATCAGGGTCTAATGGGATATCCGGGGACGGGCAATCTCGTTAGGGAATTAGAACAGGACAAGCTAAACGTGCGTCACACCTGACACACAGCGAAGACAAGTGGATCAAGAGTCAGACGTTTCGCCTTCAAAATAAGACAATAATTGTTTGACAAAATGTGGTTGCTGCTATTTTAACTATTCTTCAAAATGCAGGGACTATTTTTTTCCAAGAACATTTATTTACACCATACAGACAGGAGGGAGGTTGGGGATCAAGCCGTGACAGGAAGTAAAGCAGTTATTGGTCTACAATGGGAGATGATCTCATTTGGTCCGCCCCTTTCTGACGTCCTGTATTCAGACTTGTGTCTTAAGGTGAGATTTCCCCCTTTTTTTCCTCTTCTTGGAAAAGTGGGATATATTCTGTGTGATATTAATTACATGTCCACAGAAAGTGTTATTTGCCCTCATCCTTACTCATCCATTGAGGAGGTCAGAGGTCAGGACTAGCTACTCAGATAAGATAAGATGGTACTTTATTGATCCCAATTTGGGAAATGTTTTGCTACAGCAGCATAAGAAGACAAGGCAATGCACAATACAATACAATACACATTACAAGACTAGAAATAACCAAGAAAGTACAAAATATACATGTTGAATTAAACAAGGTATTATATATACAAATATATATATACATAAATACATGACGGAAGGAATATTAATATTAAATATTGAACAGATTATTGAACTCTAGATATAAGTCACATGTGTGTCCACCTGATGAGTAGAAGTCAATTGTTCTCTTGCATTTAGCTCTGTTTTGTTCTCCACCACCTCCTGAGGGTAAAATCTGTCTCTCTAGCTGCTAAATGTTTGACTTTGTTCACCAACTGTTCTAGAAATATGTCCATCCAAGCAGGTATTGTTCAGTGTTCATCAGGGATTTTTACCTGCTCAATGCTTCTGCAAATAACATTAATGACAGCGGTGAAAGTGAACCAAAGTTTGAAAGCTGTTGATCTGAGAACCAGAACAAATATCGGAAAGACACGACAATGCTCATTGGAGTTAGGAAAAATTGTCGTCAGGTGTCAGGTGGTGATTTCCCGTGGTCTTCAGCTCTCACAATAGCACAAATACGGCACTAAATTCGAGGGGGAGAGGTTTTATTTCCTGCCTCAGTCAAAGAGTGTCATGTCACAGCTCACATGCCAGTCCCTACTTCATTGGTTTGGCAGAGGATTAGGGAAGATGCTCAGTAAGCATTTCATCTAGATCTAGAGCAGTGGTGTCCAAACTTTTTTCACAGAGGGCCACATACAGAAAAAGATACCAAGGGCTGGGCCACTCACTAGAGGTGAGGTTTATTGTCTCATAAGTTAAGTTATAGGTTAGGAAAATTAATCAAATGTATAGGTCAATTATGCTTGATACTTGAAAATGCCTTAAGAACAAAAAACAGCTCTCCATAAGGT